AGAGCATTCAGTGATTATAATGGGGAGGATTAATCCTTAACCTTCGATTATTTGATATTAAAATTTTCCCTATGATAAATAATAATCAATATTAGAAATATTCTTAAAATTAACAATGATTAGTTTAATTTTCTTAATTCTAGAATGGGATATGATTTTTTTAAATTTCACCTCTACTTAAGGAAAGGATTTAAAGGAATATTTGAGTAAAATCATTTCATATGTAAAAATTATGTGTTATTTGAGAAAATTTAATAAATGAAGAAATTTTATGATGAAAAAATGATATTTTTTATTGTTCTTCTGAACAAAATAACATAATTGATATAAAACTTCATAATCATTCATTTATTTAATAATTCATAAGTTGAATATGCTAAATTTTTGCCATCCCAATACACCAAATATTGCCCATTATTTGTGATATTTCCATAAATAAAGTAGGTATCACAATTTAATTAATCTTCAATTTTGTAATTGCCATCATTAATTTCTCTAATGATATATATATATTTCTTATGTCTTACTACTATTAAATTCCTCTCCTTATTATAAATTATTGGAAAACGGTATTCATCATAAATTTCATTATTTGTAATGAATTGAATTGTCTTATCCTAATTTTCTTAATAGACTCCTTATTTTAATTCAAATACATAAAGTCTGTCTAATTGTTTATCACCAGTTATCCAAATAAATTAATTCTCTTTGATGAACTTAACTTTCAACCCAAAGTCATTAATTGATTATTTAACAAAATATTTGAATTCAAATTTATCTTTTTCTCTTCTTTCCCAAATAATTATTTCATTCTAACCATCAGCACATGAAACTAGTTAATTTTCTGATTAATTTAAACTTAAAGACACAACTTTATTATTATGTTTATCCAAAGAATACAAAAAAACCAAATTATTTTGATTAAAATCAACCTTCCAAACTTTAATTGATTTGTCTCTACTCCCAGAAAATAGTAAATCCTCATTTTAATTCAATACAATACAAGTTACAGAATCTGTATGTTATTCATAAGGTTGTGAAGAAATCCACTCAGTTTAGTTCATTGATTACCAACATCTTATTGTTTTGTCTAAAGAACATGAAATAAACGAATTCTTTTTTTTACTATAAACTAAACATTAGACCCAATCAGTATGTTCTTGCAATGTTTTTACTAATTTGATTGTTCCATTCAGAAAACTCCATACTTTAATATCCTCATTTTAGGTTGATACCATAATTGACCCGGAAGAATCAAAAATTATTGTATTACACCTATCATTCTATTTAAGAGATTAATCAATTAGTTTTAATTTGATTTGAGATTTCTATAATGATTCTTATTCATCATGATTAAGTTAATCTATTTTTATTTATTATTATTATTATTAATTTATAGTTAATGTCTGAGTAGATTATTCTAACTTTGAGAATAATTCTTTACATTTTTGATATTCTATGAATTTATTAAATAATTCTAATTTTGGATATAATTTGGAAGTCCAACAGTGATTTGTTTATTAAATTTCATGAATCAATTGTTAAGAGTTATCATCAATTTTATTTTAATTGATAATCATAATTTCTAATTGTCCATAAAAGCTATACTAAGATTATGATCTTTATTATTATAGATTTCTAATCCATTCCTTTATTATTGTAATCTATGAATCAAATTATTAGATCGCATATGATCTCATTTGATCTATAATACTATGTAATTATTCAATTAACTTTATTTATTTATCTATTATATAATCTACTTTTTCCATCTTCTTTAATTAGGCTTCTTCAATTAATGAAATCATTTTCTTTAATCCGACCACTTTAGCATCTAAGTCTGCATTCTCTAAACATTCTGTGCATAAGAGTCTTTGATTCCTTTTTAATTATGGATCAAGTGCAATTGTAACAACAGGCAACTTATGTCCTTAATAACAACAAAAATCTTTCTCATTTTCTATCATTTTTGGTTTAATCATTTTATTAAAATTATTAAATAAAGTGGCAATTAATTCACGCAAGTTATAAAANTATAAAGTATTTAGATTGATCACTCTCTATTGATTAACAAAATTGTTGTTCTCTTCGCTGTAAAGGTATTTTTAAATTGTATTGTTAAGGTGACTGTTTAAAAGTCAAATAAAAATATAAAGAAGCCCTAATTTATTCTGAAATATCGTTGAAGTTAGAACCGAATAATTAATGGGCAAAAACTAAATAGGTATTTTCAAGTTTACAATTAGAATTTTGTAAAAAAAATTGAAGAAATAATTATTCAATTTTTCATATAAATATATATTATTTCCATTTCATTATTCTAAAGTTGGCTAAATTTTTGTTTTTATTGTAATATAATTGATGTTATTTTGAATTGTTTTTTTTTAGAATAAAACAATTTGATATTAACTACTTAAGTAGATTGGTTGTTTTCTTATTTAACTGCTTTTTGAAAATAGTCAAGACAATTTCAAAATTGCATAACATTATTTTAAATCTACGCTATTCATTTTTTTAATTTGTTTTATCTACAAACATAAAAGCTTAATTCTGTAAATTTAATAAACTTAATAAACGTATTTTATGAATAAATATCTATGTCTGTATTATATCAGTGTTCTTAGGAAAGAAAGAATAAGTGTATCAATAATTAGAAACAGATAAGAAACAAATGTGTTTGGCTTTCTACTTTAGAATAAAAATAGACAAAAACGAATGTTACAAAACTTGATATGTCAAAGGATTGTTGTAAAAATAGACAAAGGGAATCATTACTAAAAAATCAAACATGGATGGATTTTGAGGGAAAATGCTTGAAATCACTATTTATAGTGTTATTGTATTTATACATCTTGCAACAAGGCAAAAGGTGATAATAATAAAATTACAGCCATTTTAGTGACAATGTAGCTAATGTTATGCAAGCATTGCAAAAACTTTGAGTATGATGCAATTATTGTTATAACCTGGCATGAATGCAATATGTGTATTATTCTTTTCTTAAGAGTATTAAATGCTTGGTTGTTACTATTGTCGTTACTGAAAGTAAATACAACAATAGGTGCAAGTGAAAAACATAATCTCAGCAACTCAATAATTAAATGTAGTGATATTTGCCTAAAGCATAGCCCTAACCTACCGAATTTATAATTTTCATTAAAAATATTCTCAACAATACTAATGCAACTGCCAAGTAATCATAAAAAAAGCATGAATCGGTGAATTTAATAACAAAAAAATGGTTAACACTTTTTACATGTTTGAGGAATAATTTAGCAGCAAGAAGAATTTTAATTTCTATATGGTCAACTGTTCTGCTATTTCATCAGAATTTTATGCATAAAGTGAGTATGATATTGATACTCTTATGCTAAATTTCATAAGGGTAGTTCAAAACTATCAGAGTTTAGTTAGGCATGCTTCAAGTACAAGCGTGTCGTTAGGCAAGATCAGGCAAAAGATCATGCTAACAAGTATTGCCGAAAGAAGAGCATGATACAAGTGTCATGAAGCGTTTTTGCATTTAAGTGACAGTAACCTTACTATTGTCAAGATAGTTACACATGCTGAATATTTGACATTAAATATCTTTAATTGCAAGGAGGAGCGACTGGATGACACCTTTGTAATCTTCATTATCAAAATTAAATCAAGTTACAAAACTGAGCAATTTAAGCTGCAGTTTAAGACTTGAATAAAAATTATAAGGAAAAATTAGTATGACTTTAGTTATCTTATAAAGTATCTGCAAGGTTGATGCCAATAAAATACAAGCTGAATTATAAATGACATAAGAATTCAATTATGCATAATTGTAGATTGAAAAAATATAACATAGAATTACAAGCATTTTTTGGCTATTATTGCTTTTAAATCAGCTATAATCAATAAATAAACTTAGGTGCATCAAGCTGATTATAAATAGTACCCTGTAGCAAAAGAAAATAAGTAAGATGAAGGTGATGAGTGAGAGTTCCTATATTGGGTGAGAGTGGAACACCTGTTGCTGAACAATATCTTTAAATTGAGCCAAGAAGCAGAAGTTTTTCATGCACACTTCTATTCAAGATCAAAACTCATAAAGATTATAATTTGAGAACTTGAGTGAAGATCTGTTTTATAGAAGGAAAACAGAAGAAGGATACTTGGTAGTTGTTATTAATTTATGAGACTTAGATATTTTCGATAATTATATTTTAGTGTCAATATTATTTAAATAAAGAAAATAATGAAACTATTTGAAATATGATGATATTTTAAGATTTATTAGTCTTATAAGTTCTGGTTTATTAGCTCAACACTATTTTAATATTGATTCTTTGATGTTATTAGACTATAAACAATTGTAAAGTTAACAATTAATTTTAGCATGTTATTCAATAAAAAAGTCTAATATTCAATCAAATCTCAGAAATAACAAAGCAGAACAAAATGCTTTCAAATAATTTTAGAACTAACCGCATTCTCTTTAAGATGAATTAAATATTTTTATTAATCTGCTCAAGTTAATGCATGGAAAAATATACGAAATAGTTTTAGAGTATGCAATTTGAAACCTTTCAAATTCAACTAAAAGGATAAGTGTTTTTCTAAAAATCCACCAACGAAACTTAAATTTTGCCTGATGTAAAGACAAAACTTGATATCATTAAATTTGATATTTTGTTTAAGCAGTAAAGTCATTCAGGTAATTTAAATGTTAGCAATCTATTCTAGAAATCATCAAAACTAACAATATCAGAAAAATCACTATTTTTAAATGATCAAATTTTCAATATCAGATTGAATTCTAATTTTACATTAAATAAAAATTTAGTTTTCTGTATACTTTAAACTCCACTATGATTTTTGAAATTGCAATAATTATAGCAATATAGAAAATATAAACCATTGAATAATTTACTCCAAAAGAGAAAAATTGTAAATAATATCATCTTTCATATACATGTAGTTTTAAAGATTTCAGCCAACTATTCCTATTGGGGTTAAGTTATAATTTACTAGGCTCTCGATCTTCAAGCATTCATCCTTAATCTACTTGAACTTCATGATAATCCAAATTAGATTGGCAAATCATTTCACTTCCCTTTTTCTTTCTTTTTAAAGGCTAAATATACCAAGAGTTAAAATTGTGATATTATTTAGGAAAATTCACGGCTTCAACTTAACATTTCTTCTTATTTAAACAATCTCTAAACTCTTATAATGATGTAAAATTTTTATTGATAAATTAAGTTTAATATGATTTATTATTTCTGTTCTTATATAATGTAATAATTATCACAAATCTAATACATTTTATTTTAATAGAATTCGATTAAGTATTTTAGTTGCGAAAAAATAAATAACTTCATAATAATAAAAATCATACATAATGAATATTTTAACTTCATAATTACAAAAATAAAAGGCTGAGGTTCAAGAAATGGTTTGTTAAATTCATCATCTTGAGATAATTGCTCTAGATCTTGACACATCTGAAAAAGGATAGTGTTAATATTTGTGTTGTAATTGTTTGATTGAGAAAATGAATAATAACAAAATATCAACTATTGAATAAACAAAAGATAGAATATAATCTTTTAAAACTTAAAAAAAAGAAAATAAGACTAAAGAAATCCAAATGAGGTTAGATTATTTCAAAAACATACTTGATTAAATTATGGATTTCAAAAGTACTGTAGAAAATACTTTGGAAAAAATCTATAGTCAAATAAAAGCCCAAATTCATACAGTATAAAAGGAAAAATAATCTTTATTAGAAGGGATTTAAATCTAGCAGAATTTTTAAGATGATGTTAAATAATTATCTGAATTTCTTTCATCAGAATTCCAAGATAAATAAATCGAATTTTAATAAGATAACTTATTTATTGATGAAATTTTTAAATAATTTGAGCTCTTATTTAATAATGCTTCATATTTTTAAACTATCGACACATTTAAGGATGCTAAATAGAAGATCAATGAAATAAGTGAAAATGTTTAAATTGAATTAATGCCCCAACAAAACAAAAATAATTATGTAAAATTTATTTTTATTTTAGAAAACTCCCAGTTTAAACAAAATTTGCCCTTTACATAATAAGGAAATAATAATGATTGATATGGAAACAAAGAAAAAAAATGTAGATGATAGATTTGCTTGCGTTGATTGCATTAGTGATCATCCACATTGTTAATATAGAACAATTGAAAAAGTAAATTAGGAATGGAATTATTCAAAATAACAATAAGACCGAGTATTAAATGATTTGAAGATAAAAAGGCAAGAAAAATAAGAGAAATTGAATTAATAAATTGCTTTGATTAGAAAAAATTACAACTAATAACTTAATGAAATCAGTGAAAAGCTAATAACAGAATTTTCCATACCAATATCCAAAACAGTTGATATTTGCAAATTCAAATAACCTTTTCTCCAAGGATTAAATAATGAAGAATTGGTTTCTAATATTAATTAATTGATTTAGTGTGATAAAGAAAATCAAATTTAAGATTCAAAAATTGAATACGTAAAATCTAAGGATCTTTTATTTATAAAAGAGATTGAAAACAAATTGGAGCACTTAAAATAGCATAATTAATTAGACATCTAAGAGTCATTAAATATTCTACAAGAAGATAATCAAATTCAAGAGATTAACTTATTATTATAACAAATTACCGAGTCCATTAAAGGAAGTTAAGAATAATTAATTTTAAAACAAGAATTAGAAGAGTTCTTAAATTCTTCAAAATAAATTTATTGCTAATAGGGTTTATTTAATCAAACAATTCACAAATTTTAAGAACATCTGATAAAAATTAAGAATATTAATAATAAAATGAAATAAACTCCAGATCATTTAAATCTTACATACTTTCAAAAATGTGTTCAAGATTACACTGATAAATTTCAAAAAGATTTTCAATAATTAAAAAAATTTTGTGATATTGAAAATTTAGAGAACAACTTAAACGCTTTGCAGATAGACTACGA